CCCGAATTTTTTAAAGTCTTTTTTGTCAACCGATTTTCTGCAAGCATTATTTGCTCATCATACTTTATTTAATGACAGTCGTTTAGCTCGTATTTCATCGTATTTGAACGAACCTCATAATATTTTCTGATCTTTTTTTATTTTTTCTTCTTGTTTTATTCTTTTTCTTTCTTTCTATTTTTTTCTTCTGCTGTTCTTTCTGCCAACGCCATCAGCAGCAGGAACACCCCAAGTATGGTTTTTCTGCCTTCAGTTCCACGTTAGCCGTCGCTGACGCGGAAATGGGTAAAAGAGGCCATTTTTACTGTAAAGTGTGAAATTAGATATTTGTTTTTTAATCTTATATTCATTTTCGTACAAGAAGAACATGATAGCAGAACCAATTTCATGGTTTCCGGTCGATTTGTATTTTTTTACTTTTATTTTTTTTTTTTTAGAAAAATTAGAAGAAATTTTTAATTCGACATTTTTTTGGTGATGCATGTTTTGTTGAAGAGCTTCTCTTTTTCCTTCTTGTTCAAGCATTTGTTGATTTTTTTTCAAAGGGGGAAAGGGTGGGGGAGTGAGGGAAGGGACAGAGTGGGGTTTTATGGGACTGTGTTCGTGCGTATATGTGTGTATATTTATTTTTGGACTAAAAACTTTTTTGACTTACCTAGAAAACGAAACGGCTAACGAGAAAAATTTTTTCCCTAAACAGTTCAAAAATTGAGCAAACATATATTGTTCTTTTCTTAGTTAGTTCACTTTTTGATTCTGTACTTTTTGTTTTAAAATGACTAGACGTTGCAAGCGCATTTATTGCTATGTATTTCATTATTTTAATCGCAGAAATCTTTGCACCTTTCTAAAAAAAATTGTTTGGTTTTTGGCAAAAAAAAAAATTCTCCTTTTTGAGTGGGTATATCGGTGTATTTTCCTACTTATGTTAATGACTGCAGTCATGTATGGTTTGGTGAATGTTTATTCGTTTTCCTTTCTCTGTTTATCATTACTATTATTATTTTTGTTTTTACCCTTATTATTATTATTATTTTTATTTTTATTTTGTTAAGTTTAACCAGGTGAGATGGAAAGATCAGTTGTTTTAAATTTTTTGGCATGAGACCTGATTTACTGGTTTTCATCTCAACTACCAACTTGTTTCAGCCGAAGTTTTTAAGTCGGGAAGAACGCGAAGCATTGGCTTTGAAAAAACGTGAAGAGGAAGTGGCGCGGCAAAAGGAGCAACAAAAGCAGCTGCTGGAACGAAGAAAACAATTTATTCAGGAAGGCAAGAAAAGTGGTCAGCAATCTTCAATTTTTTGAAGAGATTTAAGGGGTCATATGTTGAGATTCAGAAATTTGCCGAGTAGCATAGTAGTAGTTTGCTGAAGCATTATCTGATATGTTAGCAGTTCGTTTTTCAAGTAGTGTACATAAAAATGAATTTCTCATGCGTGCAAGATCAACTTAGCTCATTTGTAGATCTCAGAATATATTCCACTTTTTATTGTATTATCCATTTTTAGAAGATGTTTAAAAATTGATTCTGGGTATAGTCGGAAATCAAATCATAGTTGTAGTTGCGTTATGACGGTAATCGTTGTGTCTCTCTTGCAAACGCTTTTTGAACCATTTCGCTGATCAAAGATCATCTAAGTGAGAGAGACGTTTTTTCTTACTGAAAACAGCAAATTGTCAGTAAATTATTTTTACTAAAGCAATAATATGTTGAAAAGCTATTCAAGATATTAACTGGTACTCATATTTGATGCGTAATTTCAAGTCCTTAGTCATAGCAGTTTATGACACTGTCGCTTCTAGATCGAGATCGTGATCGAGACCGAAGAGACAGAGAAAGAGATCGGGAACGGGAACGAGAGCGAGAGCGAGAGCGTGAGAGAGAGAAGGAGAAGGAGAAAGAGAAAGAAAGAGAAAGAGGGAAAGAAAAAGATTCTGCTAGGAATAAGGAACGCGAAGGTTGCGAAGTTTCAAATTATCTTGTTAGTTATGAGTCTTGTTCAGGTTTTGATTTTCACTTGGTTTATTAAGTTTCCGGAATAAGAGGGAGTTTTGTTAAGGGAGGCGTAGCCGGAGTAGGGAGCGACGTAGTCGAAGTCCGAGAGATCGGCGGAGTAGGAGCCGCGAGAAGATTAAAAGGGATGGTGAGAAGGAGAAGTTGGAGAAGAAAGATGGTTCTGATAAGGTTTCTGATAAAGACATGGAGAAGTTGAATGAGGCTATCAGACAGCGGTATTTAGGTAATATTTCTGTCTCTAATCTTCCCAATCGGTTCATTTTTTAAAAGCATCAAAACTGTGCAGCGTAGGAACAGCATGACGGAAAGCGCTTGTGGACTGATTTCTGGTCTTTAATTTTCTGGATTCACTTGTGGAATTTCATGTGGTAGTTTTTCGGGGTTAGCATTTATGATTTGCAGAAACTTGCTATTCTTTTCTAAATCATGATAAGGTAACATTTTTAAAATCTATGTAAGATTTTTTAGTGGTACTACGTGCAAATTGAGTACATTTGAAGTTCTTGAGCTTTCATTATTTGTCACTTTTCAGGAGGCCAACGTGAAAAGAGGAAAAGGGGAAGGCGTTTGCATGAGAGAAAGTTTATATTTGATTGGGATGCTGCTGAAGACACATCTAATGATTACAACTCTTTATATCAAAACGTAAGTCATTGGCAAGGTTACATTTACGTAATAAGTAGTAAGTATAAATGTTCTTTTTGTAGATCGTTCAGAGATCATTCTTTATTTAGTTTAGGGAGGGAAATCACAAGAGTTCCCTCGAAAACGTATGTTTTTAGTCGGAAATTTTGTCTTACGCTATGCTATTTTTGAATTTTTATTTGGAACAGGATCTTGTCGAGCGCTTTACGATTTCATCTGCTTTTTCTTTTTCGTTACTAGTCGTTCCTTTTAATTCCGGACTGAAGGCTTCTTGCACTGCAGTTATTACGGCCACTGGATTCGTTTGTAACGTTTCAGAAGATTGTAAATCTTACGAGGATTGTTTAGAGACATGAGGTACAGTTTTTTGGTCGTGGCTCAATAGCAGGCATGGATGTAAACGCTCAGAAAAAACAGAAGTCTGAATTTTACGCAAACCTTATGGAAAAGAGAAGGACAAAGGAAGAAAAGCAACAAGAAGACAGAAGGTTGGTTTTAACTATTCTTCTGTTTCAGTTATTTGCATTGTGCTGTCTGTACCCATTACTTTTCCCCAAAAACTTTTCTAGGCTGGAGGGTGTCAAAAAGAAGCAGAAGAAAGAGGCATTTGATAACAGGCATTGGTCTCAAAAAACTCTGGAACAAATGTCTGACAGGGACTGGCGTATCTTTCGTGAAGATTTTAATATATCTATTAAGGGTGGCCGCATACCAAAACCATTGAGATCTTGGGAAGAAGCAAATCTTCCTCATGAAGTTTATGACGTTATTTTGAAGATTGGCTACAAGGTGTGTTAGTAATGTTTGTTTCGCGATTCGTAAATTCAACCTACTTTACGGTCGTTATATTTTTGGAAGTTTAGGAGCCTACTCCGATCCAGCGGCAAGCAATACCAATAGGTCTTCAAAATCGCGACATAATCGGAGTAGCCGAAACTGGTTCTGGTAAAACAGCAGCTTTTCTTATACCGCTTCTTGTTTGGATAACCTCGCTTCCAAAGATCCAAAGCACGGAAGAGCAAGAAAATGTGTGTGTAGTTAAGTAACTTCAAAATTTTTGCCGGGGTTAACGGTATTTTGGCTTTGTTTTGACAGTTTCTTCTCTGGTGATTTTTAGTGCTGAGTGTAAAAAATAGATACCAGCGAAAGCATAATTAGAGTGTGTTTGAAATTATTTTTCCAGGGGCCTTATGCCATTATTATGGCTCCTACTCGTGAACTTGCTCAGCAGATAGAAGAAGAGACAGTTAAGTTTGGCCAGCTGCTTGGTATTCGCACTGTTTCTGTTATTGGTGGTGCATCTAGGGAAGAGCAAGGACTGAAACTTCGACTAGGCGTTGAGGTTGTTACTCACTGTAGTAATTTTCCGGTATTTCACTAAATCCGCGAGACAGATTTTAGATAACTTTGAGTCATTTAGGTTGTAATTGCGACTCCTGGACGTCTTTTGGACGTTTTAGAAAATCGTTACTTGTCTCTGGACCAGTGCAGTTACGTTATCTTGGATGAAGCAGATCGCATGCTTGACATGGGATTTGAGCCAGAAGTACAGAAGGTGCTCAGTTTGTCTTTCACTTAAACTTTTAGCTTTTCCCATATTGCTTATTCACAGTATTTAATACAGGTGCTTGAATACATTCCCGTAACCAACTTAAAACCAGACACTGAGGATGCAGAGAAAGAGGAATCAATAATGGAGAATTTTTATTCCAAGAAGAAGTATCGTCAAGTAAGAAAAGTTCATTGACTATAAAGAGTTGTTACCTTTAATGTGGTAGTCTTTTGATTTTAGAACGAGCCTAGTGTAATCTGGATTTGTAATGTAACGAAGTTCATCACTGTTTCTTTTTGACTTTGTAATGGGTTTCTGTTTAAACATTGTATTCATCGGTCTTGAACACCACGTTTTGGCAAACGATAATTTGATTTTATCTTATTTTCAGTTTATTTTTGGTATCCTTCTCCAGATTATAAGTAAGGATCATGAGAATTTTGAAATTATGAACTTCAGATGAGAAAAAGGAACGTTTTGTAATTGAAGTTGTAAACTTAGGGTTTTTTGGCTTCTTTAGCGGATAATTAAGCCGTTTAGTCCTTGGAAGTAGTTATGGAGAAGTTCGGGACTGTTGTTTTTTAGACTGTTATGTTTACTGCTACCATGAGTCCTGCTGTTGAGCGACTCGCTAGGGCTTATTTGCGCCGACCAGCTGTTGTTTATATTGGATCTGTTGGTCGTCCTACCGAACGTGTTGAACAGATAGTTTACATGCTTCCTGAAGAAAGAAAACGGAAGAAATTGGTTGAATTAATTTCGTCGGATGCATTTGAGCCTCCAATCATCATTTTTGTGAATCAGAAGAAGGTAATGTTTCTAGTTGAAATTGTCCTTTTTTTTGGGGGGGGGGGGCTTTGTTTGAAAGATATTTACTT